AGACAGAGAGACAGAGAGACAGAGAGACAGAGAGACAGAGAGACAGAGAGAGAGACAGTGAGAGACCTGAGCGTTATACGTAAATCTATAGACACGTTGATAAAAAAATAAAAGGGGAAATTAACTTATCCTCTATTTTAATAGAGAAATAATGCTGACTCAGTCAAAGATACTCCTGCTCATGTGTATGGGAAAATGTGCACTCAAAGGAATTGTACACTGGTGTAGTTCGAGGCTATTCGTTATTGCACATACATGACATGACTTCGAATCCCGCGAGGAGAAATAATTTTCTCAAATCACTAGTGGTGGGCTGCGAGGTTCCCGGTTATTGAAAGCTAGGAATCGTTTGGAATCGACTCCAAACCCAATTACTTACTTTCCAATGATGTGATTTTTCCTGTGGTTACCTGGTAGCTCCGAACATCTTCAGGATTTAGAATAACCTTGATTTCGGAACCTTACGAAGCATCAATAAAAAAAAAAGATTTTACTGATTAAAGCAACAGGTAACGGCTGGTTTACGCAAAAAGGAGTCGGAACTTTACTTTCGTAGCATTAGTCTTGGGAATCGGTTCCCGACTAGATTCTTCTCCCAGCTCTACTAATCACCACCACTATTGCCTTTCTTACCCTAGATCAGGTTATAGGCCACGAACAAAACACTTTCCACCTTTCCTTATCCTGGGTGGGCTAGCCGTTTGATTACCCCGTTTGATACCATGTCTTCCTATAATTAGCTAATAACTCTGCTGAAGTTTTGCTGAAATGCTGAATTAACCGCAGCTATCCCTGGCTTATTCGAAGCAACGCGCATCGTAGATAGAGGTACACCCCAACAACGGGTATATTGCTCAGCTTTCCTGTATCTTTGATTTTCCTAAACTCTTCAAACGACAATAACATTACGCTACCTTAGAAATTTGACGTGAAAATGTTAAGTTTCTCAACATCGCTACCACAGAAAATAAATTACCAAGTTCTATCTGTTCAGTACCTAGTTGTGAGAAATTTGACACCACCACCCCCCCCCCAAAAAAAAAAAAATAAATAAAAATGAGTGTCTCAACATTTCACGCTTTTTATGAAAATGATTCTTTAAATATCTTGATACAGACTCTGAATAATCTTACGATTTTGACAGAGCGGATAGAGCATTCAGTTTCTGCCCTCATTGTCTTAGTAACTCATAACGGCCAAAAATGTCGGAGATAGAACTTTGTAGTGGCGATTGGTAATAGAAAGATCTTTAACTTTAAAGTAATCGTTATCGTTCGCGATACCGAACGAAATAAAGGAGAGCTGAATTGAGGAGAAGTTTACGCCCGATATCATTATAATTAATTTCAAATTATGCATTCAACAGTCTGAGCACCTTTCCACTGTAACCGCGGCTTAGATTAGCTACTTTAAATTTTTATTTGATTGCTTGTTCGACCCATGCATAAGCAATGTGGGAGCAATAAAATGTTGAGGTTGAAACTGTACATTTCCACCCGTGGTCTCCGTAAGCAGATACAGCAAGTATACACGTTGATGAAGACTATTGTGTGGCCGATTTCACTTTTACGTCAAAAAATCTTGTTAAAAAATGTTTTCCAAGAGTGAAATCGAAACAGGAAAGACAATGT